GAAGAGATATATATATTTATATATATTTTCTGAGTTGGGTTTTTCTTGCAAGGAGTAGAGGTGGGAGAAATGAAAACAACCACGGGCTGGGATGTGTAAGAGGCGTGTGATGAAATGGTTTTCAGAACTCTGAAATGGTGCTGGGGCGAAAATAGAAAACTAAACCCGGGGAGAAGCTGGTGCTGCTGGGGAGGGAGGGAAGGGTCACTTATGGATTAGGCTCATGATGGTAGCAAAGGAAAAACATTTTTTTAAATGAAATGTTCAGCTGTGGCAGCTTGAAATAGCTCATTTGTGGCACCCTGGAGCTCTCTGTATCTGGTCAGGTGAAAGGTGTCCTTGCCCACAGGGGGGTTGGAATGAGATGGTATTTAGGGTCTTTTCCAACCCCAACCAGTCTGTGATTTTATATTTTCATAGATTCATAGTATGCTAAGGGACTGGAATGGGGCTTAGAGATCATTCAGTCCCAACCCCCTGCCCTGGGCAGGGACACCTCCCACCAGAACAGGTTGCTCAAGGCTTTAGCCAACCTGGTTTTGAACACTGCCAGGGTTGGGGCAGCCACAGCCTCCCTGGGCAACCTGTGCCAGCCAGTGTCTCACCATCCTCACAGGAAAAACTTCTACCTAATATCTAATCTAAATTTCCCTCCTCGAATTTCTCCCTGTTACTCCTTGTCCTGTCACTGCAGTTGCTAACCAAGAGTCCCTCTGCAGCTTCCCTGGAGCCCCTTCAGCTCCTGGAAGGAATATTCCCACTTCAATGAAATGAATTATGTTTTGGAAGAAATGGAAGTTTCCTTTCGGTCCCTGTTGTGGTGTTCATGTTGTTTGGGGTTTTTGTTTCCTTTCCCTGATTTCTGCAGCTGCAGTGGATTTGTGTTTGGGTTTAAGGCAGGTCTCCGTGTCAATGGAAGCCCAGCCCAGCCCTCCAGGTTATAAATGCCCCTCCTCATCCTGAGCTGCCTATGGATCTCACGGTATCACCCAGATCGGCAGTGTAATCTCTGCTCTGCTGAGCTCCTTCTTTTTTTCTCTCCATAAGTAGGACGAGAATCCTGGTGATATAAAAGGCAGCTAGTCTGGATCTCAGACAGTGGTGCCTGCAGTCATTACCCAGGGGATTTGCTGGACACATCAGGCTCCTCAGGGGAGCCCCACGTCCCACCTGAGGTGTTTGTGATGGGTCAGAGTTAATGGTGGAGGTGGAGAGTATCAACTCCTTGACACTCTCGCAAGGGAAGAGCACAGGGAGACACAGCAGTGCCCACTGACCATGAGGTGCCTTGTGTGGCACTGGCAGCAGTGACCAGGAACTGTTTTCTTTTGCTTCTTAGAGAAAGTGCAACCCAGTTCTGTCTGTTTAAATGATGCAGTTGGTGGTCAGTGTGTAGTGCCTGTGCCTGCAGCACTGCTCAGTTCCAAGGGAGTGCCGAAGCCCAGGCAGAAACAGGGACTGCTCAGTGGCCAGGGTAGTTAGTTATGGCTTGTGGTTGCTCGTGGGGATTGTGCCAGAGGGCAGGGTTAGTTTGGATATTGGAGAGAAATTCTTCCCTGTGAGGATATTGAGGCACTGGCACAGGTTACTCAGAGAAGCTGTGGCTGCTTCATCCCTGAGAGTGTTCCAGGCCAGGTTGGATGGGGTTTGGAGCAACCTGGGCTAGTGGAAGGTGTTCCTGTTCATGGCAGGGAGGGGAACTAGATGATCTTTAAGGTCTTTCCAACCCAAACCAGTCTATGATTCCATGAAACTAAAGCTTATGATGGGTTTTCCTCCTCAAGAAGGCAGGGCTGCTCAGCAGAGGTCTGAGGGGTGGAAATCAAAGATCCTGTCTTGGTGTGTGTAGCTTTGGAAGCCTCTAGCCACCCAAAGAACAGCAAAAACTGTGGCACTGCTGTGTGAGGAGCTGTGCTGGGTTTTGCAGAGGTGACTCCTGTGGGTTCCAGTGCCCTTGGCAGAGCAGGGTTCACCCACCCAGTTTTGCAGCTTTATCCCCAGCATCCCAATATTCTCAGTAAAAAGACATAGAGCCAGAAATATTGCTTTTAATCAATATATTTGAGAATAAATGTGATCATTGTTAGTTTATTTTTCCACTGTGCTGCCCTCTTGTGTCACATGGAAAAATAAATCTCCTGAGGCTGTGGTAGGTAAGAGCCAAGTGGAAAAAGCAGTTTCTAAACAGCTGCAGGATAAACGTGTTTGCTTGCACTGAAAATGCTTTTTCATCCATGCTCGAGCACAAGAATTGGTGTTCAGTGCAAACTGTTCAGGATTATCTGTGTACTTAGCGTTTGTAAATGGATTTGGTGCTGGAAATGTGGTGTCTGGGCACTTCTCATACTCCTTTTTTTCACCTCCTTCAGAAATTGTCCGAGCGATGACACATGTGATCAACCAGGGCATGGCCATGTACTGGGGCACGTCACGCTGGAGTGCCATGGAGATCATGGTAAGGTCTAGCTTGGGGCAGCCTTGGCACTGCCTCATTCTCTGGGCATGTTGGTGTTTACCCCATCCAGTACCTTTTCACCTCAAATAATTTCAAACCTGTTCCAGAAGAGCCCAGTGTTCATTGGGAGAAGATGAGCTGATCGAGGGGTTTGGGTGTCTTGACTTGTTTGATTGGGGTTTGTGTCATTTTGTTTTGACTGAATTCAAGTCATAGAACTTATAGAATCATAGTATGGAGTTGGAATCAATGTTAAGGGGTTGGAATGGAGCTTAGAGATCATCCAGTCCCAACCCCCTGCCCTGGACAGGGACACCTCCCACCAGACCAGGTTGCTCAAGGCTTTAGCCAACCTGGCTGTGAACACTGGCAAGTCTTTTGGTCTGACGTTGGTGCTAGCAGAAGGTGTCTCTGCCCATGGCAGGGGGTTGGACTAGATGATCTTTGAAGTCCCTTCCAACCCATTCTGGGATTCCAAGACATGCCAGGAGCATCTTGCTCATCCCTACTTCCCCCTGCTAAGGGACAGTACAAGTTGAGTTGGTTATTTCCTGCACACTCGAGGAACCTTGGCTGGTGGTTATGTCCTGCAAGGTGTTTTCATCTAATGAAGTACTTTATCTATTGAATTCTCCTCTCCAGGAAGCCTACTCTGTGGCTAGGCAGTTTAACATGATCCCACCTGTGTGTGAACAAGCTGAATATCATCTGTTCCAGAGAGAGAAAGTGGAGGTTCAGCTGCCAGAATTGTATCACAAAATTGGTGAGTCTGAGGCTTCTGTGCCTGTGGCTCTTGCATTCACAGAGAGAAACAGAGAGCAGGGTGACCTAGGGGGTCACATGGGAACAGAGCTCTCCTTCCTGGAGCTGCAGGACATAGACAAGCATCTGTCTAATGACCTAAGAGAAAAACCAGCTTATTGTGCCTCTGCTAAAGAAGTATTACTTAATAGGATGTATTAATCAATATATTCAGGATGAATTTCCATGGATGTTTCTTACTCCCTGAAACTCATGAGGCCCATACAGGTGCCACCTCTGTCCTGCATCCAAAGCCACCAATACCTCCTCACACCTCTCCCAGGTGTGCTGAGGAGCAGGTGGAAAGAGGACACGTGGGAGCTGGTCCCCTCCTACAGAGGGCCAGCATAGGAAGGATGTGATGGTGTAAGGCAGGAGGAGATACCTGGTCAGGAGTTCAGGTGCCTCACTGCAGCAGGAGTCAGGATGGGGCTGGAGGCTCCTGCAAGAAGATTTTGGGTTGAATAAGAAGACACCAGTTGGTGTCTTCCAGGAAGATATAATTAAAAGATAATATAAATTAAGAGCATCTTAAGGGACAATACTTACGGTATATTTTAATTATATTAATGATATAAATAAACACTGAAGGGCAACAGCAGCATCTTCCTGGCAGACACCGACTGAACATTACTGCCTGTGGCAACAGGAACAAGCAGCAACTGTTTGGCTTTTATTTTATTTAACTGTAAGTCCTATTTTTGATACAACTCTGATTTCTCCCACTCCCCTAAAATCCCTTGCTGTGCTTTGCCTGCAGGGGTGGGAGCAATGACGTGGTCTCCACTGGCCTGTGGGATCATCTCAGGGAAATACGGCAATGGGGTCCCTGAAAGCTCAAGGGCTTCACTCAAGGTATTTGTGGTGCTGTGTCTCAGATGTGCTGCTTGGGTGAGGGCAGGGGAATAACAAAGGGGGAACAGATCCCCCCAGAGAGGGCTGAGCTGTGTATTGATGGATCTGCTCGGTTTCTCTGGCAACCACAATCCACAGTGAGGAGAATCTGGGACATGATGATGCTCAGGTTCCCCACACAGGAGCTGAGGGCTGCGAGGGGGCTTGGGGGCAGAATGAGACTGGAGCCAGACTCAGGGGCTGCAGAATGATGTTGGATGTTGTCATCACCCTATATTGATGGACATCAACAAGAAGAAGACATGACCCCAGGGGTTCTGAGGTGCTCAGTGCCTCCTGCTGATGTCCATCATGGAATCAATAGGGTTGAAAAAGACCCTAAGATTGTGGACTCCAACCATTAATTGATGCAGATGCTGTCAATTCCAACCCCCTGATCCATGCTGAGTGGGTAAACAGACTTGAACAACATTTTCCTAGCCACTCTTCCCTGGGAACCAGCCTAGTGCATGGGGGTGCTCAGTGGTGGGAGCTCAGCCCCCCAGTATCCCTCCAGAGACCCCCCCAGACAGTTCAGTCCCCAGTGCTCCACAAAACCTGGGGATCCCTGGTGGACTTGTTAGACAAGGCAGGAGCCTTCTCTAACAGATTTTAGTGTTGTGGTGTCACCACAACTTGGCTTCTCCTACAATTATCCTGATTTTATTCTTATTGGGGGTTTGGGTTCTCCTCCCATATGGTGCCTGCGGCAGGTGTATGATTTAATGGTTTGAAAGAAGGCAGAGCACAAAAATGTCACAGATTTTGGAAAAAAAACCCCAACCTGAAAGGCATTTGAGCCTCTGTATCAGCTTAGGCAGAAGCCAGAGCTGCCTGGCAAGTGCCAGCAGTGCCATGTGTCCCTGGGCTGGATCTGCTCAGTCTGATGCTTTCTAAAGGCAATGTGCTATTCCATTGCATCTGGGATTTGCTTCCAATACAAAATGTATGATTAACTTCTTGTAAAAGCTGCTGCAGAAGTGGCATGGCAGGGAGGGATCCAAATTTAATTGATGAGAGTGCAGCACAACCAGCTTCCAAGCCTGGAGTTGGGGAGCTGAAATCTTACCTTCCTTTAATTCATGTTCTAATCCTGAATGGTTAAATAAATCTGGAACAAGATCAGATATTCTCTCACAATTATTTGGTGAGGAGTCTGGCTCAAAATCTTCTCAAGCTGACTAATATTACACCTTTTTTTTTTCATTCTGGGATGGGATTCAGTGGGCCAAAAAGGAAACTGAGGAGGTTCTAGGTCGTGGGGTTGAATGAAACCAGAGGGATGCAAACACAGGAGACATCCTGGGCTTATTCTAATTGCTTTGGGTAGCAAAGCTTTGTATTATTGAACCTCCATGACCTTCTGGGTTGGATATGGCATTTCAAGTGCTGTTATATATTATAATTATGTCTATAAATTGCCTTGGAGTTTCCATTTTGGAAGATGAAAGCTAACAGTATTACTATATACTTGATATGCAGTGCTACCAGTGGCTGAAGGAGAAGATCATCAGCGAGGAGGGCAGGAAGCAGCAAGGGAAGCTGAAGGACCTGTCGCCCATTGCGGAGCGCCTGGGCTGCACACTGCCACAGCTGGCTGTCGGTGGGTCACAGGGCACTCCACTGCCCCCAGGCCTGGGGCAGCTCTGGGGGGTGCTCCTGGCCTTTGGTTGGGTGTCACTGATGCATTGGTAAAGGGTAACATGGAAAAGATGTGTTGCCTTTCCAATAGGGCCCAGGAAGGGTTGGTCTATGCCTGAAGCTAGACATGAGTTTGTCACTTAAAACACTTAAATGATCACTTATCATAGAATCACAGACTGGTGTGGGTTGGAAGGACCTTAAATCTCATCCTATCCCAACCCCTGCCACATGACACCTTCCACCAGCCCAGGTTGCTCCAAGCCTCATCCAACCTGGCCTGGAAGACTTCCAGAGATGAGCAGCCACAGTTGCTCTGGGCAACAATTAAAACAGCATTATTTCCAGCATCACCATCAGGCTCTGGCTGACAGAGGGTCAGAGTATTTTGAGCATCCTCAGGTGTCCAACCCAACCTGCCTGTTTCTCTGCTCCCTCCCCACATGGAAGCCTTTAGTTGTTGATGATTCTGGGCTGGCAGACATCAGAGAATTCTGTTTAAAACAGAGTTTGTGTTTTTTTGTGGGTTTGGGTTGTTGTTTTTTTTTAATAATTATCTTTGTGCTGCTGAGAGTAAAGGCTGGAAAATATCACATATGTCTGTCTGTTAGAAGTGATCCCTGGCTCAACAGCCCAGCAGTGAGCCCTTGTGATTCATGGCAGGAAAAAATCAAACCCCACTATTAAGAGAGGTGCTGGTGCAGGGATCAGGCTTGGGTGGGATGCTGGAAGATCTGTGGGGTTAGTTGTCTGATCCATGCATCTTCCTCCTGGTACTGTCAGAGGAGCAAAGTGAAGGTTGAGACAACTCGTTAGTTTCTAATTGAGATAGAGGCTCTGCCCAGCATTAGGGTCTGGAGGGAGGCTGTGTCATTCCACCTGTGTTTCTGACAATCTTGTGGCTTTATCCCCAGCATGGTGCCTGAGGAATGAGGGGGTGAGCTCTGTCCTGCTAGGATCTTCCAACCCAGAGCAGCTGATAGAGAACCTTGGAGCCATACAGGTAAGTGCAGGTGGTGGTGGCACTGCATGGCACAGGGAGGTTAGCTCTGTTCATCTCCCTGGGGATAACAGCACTGTAAATTAAGACTAGCATCCTCCTTCTCTTAATATAGTTTTAATACTTGGTATTCGGTCTTCCAGTTCTAATTATCCACCTTGATTAGGCAAATCTCTAGTGTGGCACCATGACTTGGCACCACTTGTGGTATTTACAACCATATCCAATGACAAGTGGCCTCAGCAGCTTTAGTGTATTTGAAAGAGCAAGTGACCTGATTCCAGGACATGTGACAGATTTTGTGTCAAGTCACATGTCACCTGCACCCACTGTAATTATTCTCTACTGTTTTTCACCGTCAGAGCTTCCTCTCCCTCTGCTGTCCTTGCCACCAGCGCATGTCCCACTGCAGCCCAGCAATATTCCATGTGTAAAGTTTAGAGCCATTGCTGTAATTCTCTCACTGAGTAAAGACACTCCAAGTGGCTTTTCCTTTCAGAGAGAAAGTAATTAGATGAATCTTTATCATCTGTCCCACCAAAAGCACAGAGGACATGATATTTGATAAAATCCAGGTTCAATTTGGAACCCCCTGGGCTTAAACCCTGGTTTTCTCCCCCCTCTAGGTCCTTCCAAAGATGACATCCCACATTGTAAACGAAATAGATAACATCCTGGGGAACAAGCCCTACAGCAAGAAGGATTACAGATCCTAATGCTCTGCATGACTCTGCTGGACTGCATGGTCTAGACGTGCTCTGTACACGAGTGCAGCCCCGACTCAGTCTCTGGCCCTGAGCATCATCCAGCAGCTTGCTGCTCATGTCTGCTCTCACTGCACCCTCCCAGGTGCTGTGCTCTGGCTCCTACCTGCAGTGAAATCTAAAAGCACAGTTGATCTCTCTTCTAACCAGGAATAACCTTGTATTTTCTTACCTTCGAGCGAGTCCGTTCAGTTTGACTTTCCTCCTTGCACCTCCTGCTTGTGCTGTGACCAACACTTGTAAAGCAAAAAAAGGATAAGAATTTCTAACTTTCAGGTACTTGGGAATTAAAGAAGGATGTACAGATCTATTTTTTTCAATCAAGAAAAGCCAGATACAACTTCAGGTTTTAATAAAACTACATTTGGGGAATCCCAGCTCTAAAGTTTCTTCAGGTTGACAGGTGGAAAGGCCAAGCTCAGATTCTCCCTTGGCTTTTTTAATGCTGAATAGAAGCTTTAGGTTTTGTTTGTAGTTGAATAAAGGCTGTAAGACAGAGAAATTAGATAGCTCAACTCCTAATTATGCAGTTATTCCAGCTGTGGAGAGCTCCTGGGAGGTCTCCCTGGAGCAGTGTTAGGAACCCAAACACGCATGTCATGTTACTGACCACAGCAGCTCTCTGCAAGGTTCTACTTCTCCATAAACCTTAAACCAAGAAAGCCATGACTAAATATTGGGTTTTGCATCTCTAGCAACCTGCCTCTACTTCTGCCTGCTTGTAGACAGAGCTACTGCAAATTTCAATATTCAGGAGCTTTTAAGGACATAGATATTATTGATATATATAATATATAGCTGCTGAGAGCTACCTGGAACAATCAGGGATGTACTTGGAGAGGCTACACTTGTTTTGGATTGGGGATAAGTAAATGCATAGACACATTTTAACCAGATTTTTGTGAGCGTTTACAGAAGTTGACAGTAAGAATTTCCATGTGGATTTGCCCAGTTCAAGAACCATGTTGTATCTTACCATGGGTTTGCTCTGTAGAACACCCCTATGATTTAAGTCCCTGTTTCTCTTGTCCTCCCTGGGATACAGCTCTGTACAGTATTTGTATTCTAGTCCCCCAACCCCAGTGCTCACCTGGGCCAGGTGAGCAGATCCCAACCCTAAGTCGTCTCCTGTATTTAAAGCTGTGTCTGTGTCAATGACTCCTGCTGTATATCAGAGCTGCAGTCTGACTCCTCTTCTGCTTGGACACAATAAAAGCATTTTGTGCATCTAATGTTTTACCTACAGATCTGTTACTCACAGCAAGAGCTGTCCTGAGCCAGCAGAGCTTTCTGCTGAGAATGGGGGTGTGTTGTTCACAGGGAAACCTTCCAGCTGTGCCCAGGTGTGCCAAGGGATGATGACATAGGACAGAGGAGCAGGAACAGGCTGGAGCTGAGCACCTGGAAGAAGGTATTGCTGGAAGTCAGTCCCCAAGGTATACACCACTCCTGGGTAACATTTGTCATGGCCTTCAGGTGAAGGAGGGCAGGGTTAGATGGGATATTGGGAAGGAATTGTTCCCTGTGAGGGTGGTGAGGCACTGGCACAGGTGCCAGAGCTCAAGGAGCATTTGGACAATGCTGTCAGGCACATGGTGGGATTGTTTGGCACATTGTTGGGGTGTCCTGTGCAGGACAGGAGTTGGACTGATGATCCTTGTGCGTCCCTTCCATCCCAGGAGATTCTATTCTATGATCTAGGCTGCCCAGAGCAACTGTGGCTGCTCCATCCCTGGAAGTGTTCCAGGCCAGGTTGGATGGGGCTTGGAGGAACCTGGGCTAGTGGGAGGTGTCCCTGCCCATAGCAGGGGGTGGGACTGAGTAGTCTTTAAGGTCCTTCCAACCCAAACTGTTCCATGATTTTGGCCTGAAATAAACACATTAACATCCTCCTGCCAGGGCAGTGAAATCCACTGCAGCTGTCCCCAAAGTGACAGTGGCCAGTCACAGCCAGCCAAGGTGGATCTCACCTCCCTGGGATTACCTCCACATCCCCCAGTGTGGCATTATCAACTGTGAAAATCAACCCTTGTTAACTTCCACAAAGGCTTTGGCCATTACACAGTTAACAGCTCTATTAGTTTGAATTTTTCCCAGTAGCAGAATAATTCCTTTTCCTCTCTCTGGTAGTAAAATTTAATGTTCTCTTTTCCCCTATGTGTTAAAATAGATCAAATCCCAGCCTTTCTTTCTCTTTAATTGAAAATGAGATGGCTTTGTCACTAACTTAGAGCAAAAGTTTAGAGTTCAGCTTGCCTGATGCTCTGAGGGCAATGGGATGCCAAGCAGCAGCTCAGCTTTAGGCTAACTATCAGCATTATGCTGAAGAACTATAATTTCAGTATATTATATTGAATTTTATATATATCATTGGTTTCTAGTAGGGAATGCAAGGGAAAAAAATAACCACCACTCCCCCCAAAAAAAACCCAACTCCAAAGCAGCCAAAAATACAAATAGCACCCAAAAAACCCACCCAAAACTTGTCAGTGAAGGCCCAAGATGAGGCTCTTTGCAGAGCACAACCCACCCAGCCACCCACCTGCTTTTGTTTCAGACTGTCAGTGCTCAGTATTCCCTTCCCAAGAGATTCTGACTCTCCCTGAGCTCCCAGACCTCATCAACTGTCAATACCAAAAAGCCCTAAAATGAGATTAAAAGCTGTTAATAAAAGGCTCAGTGAGCTGACAGTAACAGCAGAACAAAGTGCTGCTTCCAGGCACTTCTCCAGGCAGATTTACTGGAAATACACCTGCCAGGGCAGTGTGAGCCCTCCCAGCACTGACAGGGAAATGAGTGTGTTCAAGGTTGGGATTTCAGTGCTGAGTACTTGGAGAGGAGTAGAGCAAAACCAGCAGTGTTCAAGCCCTGCTGCTCAGAGAGTTTGGTCTCACCTTGGAGTCTTACCTGTTTATAGAGGTTTGTTAAAAATCTGCTTTATATGTTCTAAATATTTAGCCTAAAATACACCAATTATATCCTTTATCAGGTGAGAGGAGAACTGTGCAAGGCAGGCAGCAACAATATGGGATGTCTCCTTCCAGCAGTGAATAACCAGGCAGAAGTGATTAAAAAATTCACATATTTTGAGGGACATTAACCAAGTTAGAGTGTTAAATGAGCAAGCAGAAAAGTGATTTCAGTGGCAGCTCTGAAGTGCACCAAACCCACTGGAAAAATCCTGGTGCAGACGTAAGAATAATGTTGTTTGCTGGGAAGTAAAAGCAAATTATGCAGTGGAGAGTCAAGAGTGAAGACCTCCCAATCCAATCCCAATCCCAACCAATCCCAAAGGATGATAGACAAGTGTTGCAAACAGCACTGGATGTTTAGGAAATTGATTTATGAGTGGTGCATTTGTCAGAAATACATCAATTTCTGCCTCCTGCTCTTCAGATTCTTCATTGCACTCTCTTTCCCATAACTCTTACTGGAGTGAAGATTAGCCAAGTAATTGTTACATTAAACCTGATTATGAGCTTTCTCCTTAGTCCCTGTTTAGGATCCCAGGTGTGCGGTGGCAGGAGCTGTACCTCATGCACTGCAATTCCATTAACAGCACTAGAGTTTGGCATTTAACAGCTGCTTCAGTGGGAGCAAGAAAAGGAGGAACAGGATTGTCTGATAAACCCATTACTGAAATCCAGCTGAAGCATTTCTGCTAAGCTGAGCAAGGAAACTGGCAGGAGTTTATGTACAACTTGGGAGATGAATGAAATAAGAAAGTCCATTCAAACCACCTCAAAAGTGGTTTTCTAGCAGGTTTAGGTTTTGCCTGGCTCCAAGTTACTTAAGAATGAGGAGCATTTCCAATGAACACAGATATATTCTAGCCTGTAGAAGATTCCTCTTTTCCGGGAGTAGAAAGAGTTAACAAACCTACACGTGAAAATACTCTTTATAAAATTAAGAATAGAAATACAAAGAATTAAATGACAAAAAACTTCTTTTTTTTATTACAACTTTTCAAGTTACAATGATAAATGGTGGATTGTCACTTTTCTGAGTGAGTTTGGCTCTGGGATCAATCACCAAACTGGTCTAAGGATCAGAATCCCAAGGGAATTCTGCTCCAGGCTGTACGTACAAGTGTGAGTCCTCAGAGGTGTGCAGGACCCTCACACCTGTGTGGTGCTTTAGAGAGGTGATGCCTCTCCCAGCTCACACCCCATTTCCCTTCACTGCTAAGTGAAAAAACTGATTAACTCAGATACTGGATAATCCCATGAAAAGATACCAAAAGTACATACAATTCAATGACTTTGGACCTAAACCCTCCCCCTGCTGACCCTCACACTACAAAAATGATGTTCCTATTCCATCCTTAAACATGTTCATGGCAGTTGAAGCCTCTCCCAGGCAGGAGTTGCTGTGGGTTTGTGCCTACTTGGATCCTGTGGACAGCAGAGCAATCAGGCCTGAGGAAGCACTTATAGACAGGATATAGTTTCTGTAGGGAACAGGTTAAGGACACAACTGTAAATATATTTCTTTTTTACAGTTAATTTGGTTGAAGTTCTGTGAAAAAGAAGGAATTGAAATGGTCTTTTTCTGAAGTCTTAAGACTGGAATGTTGTAACCTGGACTAGAGCTCAGAATTGAGGGGTGAACTTCAGGATTAAGATGCCCCTAAATTTTCTTAAAATATAAATAGTCAAATACAGAATATTTGTAATTAACAACACAGCCCTGACTGGCAGTTCTAATTCCCTTAAGGAACAGCAGATGTTCATAAAATCATGGAATCTCCAAAGCTAGAAGAGAACACCAAGGATCATTGATCCAACTCGTGCCCTGCACAGCAACAATCCCTCCCTGTGCCTGTATGTGTTGTCCAAACACTCCTTGAGCTCTGGCAGGGTTGGGGCTGTGAGTTTTCAAGTTGGTGAAGTGTTTAGAATGCTAATTCCCACTGATTTCAACAGGAGATGAAGTGATCACAGTATGACAGACTCATGGAGTTTAGGTTGGAAAAGACCTTTAAGCTCATCAAGGCCAACCCTTCACCCAGCACTGTGAAAACAAACACATTAACTGCACAAGGGATGTAAAGAACTGCCCAAAAAAACCCTATACAAGTATTTTATTTTTCCCCTGAATACTTTAACTAAAAATTTCTAAGCCCCACACAGATTTTTCCACCTAACACTACATTATTCAGAGTAACTCTGCATTATTTTAGAACTCAAAAATTTAGACAAGTGCATTTGTTTCAGTGACTGCTGCTGAAAACATCACTGTGTGCCCTAAACCTGATTGTTTTTCCTAATTGTAACACCAGTAATTAGATATTCCTTCACACCAAACCCTGATTCTCATAAAATATATATGACTCTAATGCTAATTTATATTCTATAACACTTCTGAATAGAAAAATACACCTGAAACTAAAGCATGTGTAAGGTAAGAGCTTCTGGCAACTAACAGACACTGGGTTCCTGTAGGAAAATGAGGTTCCCCTTATTCCATAAAGCCATAAGGATTTCTGCATATTGTCCAAGCAATATCCTTAAAACACCTCATGTCAGATGTTAAACATCTATCTGACTGGGACTTTTGTTTTTGGTAAACTCTTATTTCCATGTGACAATGTTCTAAGCTGATGCAGTACAAACAACCTGCACTTACCAACAGAGTAACCTCCCAGCCCACATGACAACTACAGCTAGTAATAACTACTAGGAGCAGGGCTGTGGGTGCCTCAGTGTGTGGGTAAAGGATACACCGTGGGGTTGAAGTTCTTCAGCACAAAAAAGGAAGCGATGATGACCAGGACCAGAAAGAGAGTGTTGTTGTAGAAGATGGAAAAAGTTGTTGCTTCGTAGTCTGCAACTTCATTTTTCTTCCACAGAATCCTGGAAATAAGTACAGATAAGATTGCAAATATATTTAAGTTAGTGAATGGCATAAAATCATGGAATGGTTTGGGTTGGAAGGGCCTTAAAGCTCATCCAGTGCCACCCCCTGCTGTGGGCAGGGACACCTTCCACTAGTCCAGGTTGCTCCAAGCCCCATCCAGCCTGGCCTGGAACACTTCCAAGGATATCCTGGCACACACCCCATTCTGAAGTGAGTGGTACTGTTGTAACCAGCTTCTAGGACACACAGGTTTTGGCCCCAAAGCCCTGACAGCTCCCACCTTGCACAGTCCTAGTTGACATCTACTCTAACACCAAGAGTGTCTGAGACCTTTCCTTGGTAACTCACCTCAGAAAGGCTCTAGGGTGCACCAAGAGCTACAGAACAGCTTCTACTTGGCAAACAGAGAAAAGAGTGGTCAAGCACAGTCACTAATATCTTACCTGAAACCTTAAGGATATCTAATGCAGCATTACAACAAGGTAGAGAAGGCAGAGGACAAAGAGATCACCTTTCATCCTTCTCCTTACGAGACATCTTCCTGTTGTCTGCCTCGGACAGCTTGCGAGTCACCTCCTTGGAAACAGCATCTTCTCTCTTCTGGGCCACTCTGTAAGTAACACCTAATGTTACCTTCAAAAATTGAAAAATAAAACCTAGCACAACCCTGGATTACACAAAGTTGTATTTACAGTGAAGAATAAAACTTGGCCAAGTCATTGAACAGTTCTGTCATGCTGAAGGGACAAGAAATAACAACAATAACAACAATAATAACAATAACAGCAATAACTATCTTATTATATACAAATTATATTACTTTTAGTAGTGTTAACAATTATAAATACTATTACTATTTTACTATTGTTTTGTCATTATTAATCTATATTTATTATCCAAAGTAATATAATTCATATACAATATTAATTTAATTTATAATTTAACTATAATTTGTGGCAATTCCAACTAAGCATGAAGATAGTTGTGCTACTTCATTCTACTCTAAGCTGACAAGATTTAGCTAGTCCATAATTACAAGGTAGAAAACATAAAGCAATTGGGAACTACTGTGCAAAATACTTTTTGAAGGAACATTTCAGACACTTTTAAAAAAAATCAATGCTGGTTTTGTTAAATTAGTAAATAATAAGTTCTACCTCCCACAGCCACCAAACTTACTTGTGTTTGAGGACAAACTTGACATTCTTATAGGCAAAAGCCACCAGGTAGGTACTGATGAGGGTCATCACGCTGTACAGGACTGCAGACTGAACCAAGTCCATGTGCCATATCCTCCAGTAAAGCCCTTCAGTGGAGAAAAAACAAAATGAGATTTTTGAGTGGTTTCTCTCCAAGGAAAAATGTTCCCACTTAAGACCTATGCAGCTTACTAGCTCTGCAATTCCACACTACAATTCCACACCACAGCCAATTTCTGCAGAATCCCTTGGGGGTCTTGGAGCTGCACCGAAGATGCTTCGGGAGGGAGGAACGTGCCTCGCTGGAGGCTGCGGGAGCTGTGTGAGCCCGAGCGAGGCTCAGCCCCACGGGCAGCGCTGCTGCTGCTGCTGCTGCTGCTGACACGTCAGTGCTGCGGGCGGCAAACACCTCCCTCCTGCCCCGAGACACGGCGGAGAAACGGCACAGAGGGGCGGGAGGGCGAGGGGAGCGGCGGCTCCGGGACACGGGCGGTGCCGAGCCCCTGCTGCCCTCGGGGGATGCTGAGCCCCTTCCCAGCGTGTACTGATCCCGCCGGGAGCTACGGATCCCCTTGGGAGCTGTGAATCTCCTCGGGGGATGCTGATCCCCTTGGGGGCTGCGGATCCCTTCGGGAGATGC